GGATCAGACCTTGGGTGGGAGTCTGCCAAGCTAATGCTTTAGGGAGACATGGCAGAGAGGATGCAACTCTGGGGGGATCACCTTTGGATTAGAGCGGTGTTTGGATCGCAAATGTGAACACAGCTAGAAGTCCCCATTTTGAAGACAAAGAGGAAAAGCCCAAAGGTGGGGGCGGCCCTGGTCAAACCAAGGCTTTGAAAGCTCTCTCCTGGGTCTTCCTCTCATAGAAGAGCCTCTGAAGGATCCTGAAATGTTCTTCATACGCAGATAACATGGTGAACAAGATGGGCCAGGGTCCCTGCCTTCAGGGAGCTAGGAAAAGTCTAGCGCTAATTAGGTGGATTCATTTTCTGGTGTCAGGAGCAGACATAATATCCAGCCCAGACCCAACACTGTTCTGAGTATGACAAGAACAGTACACTCTAGCTCCAGAGTTCCAGTTCCAGGGCTTAGAACCTCTTTCATCCAGAGAACCAGTGATATGCTGCAGATGATAAGAGGTTAAAAAACTCCAGGCAAGCCAACCAGCGAGGTGACTCACACAGATAACACAAGAAAAGTCCTTAGAGGCAGTCCAGTTTGGAAATTTTCCAAACGCACTCCCCGGAGAGGCCCAAAGGGGCACAGACTTGTCCAGGATCATAAAAGGAGCCAAGAGCAGTTTAGTGTGCCCTTGGTTACAAAACACCAGAGAGAAACGGGGGAGGAAAACCAAGACACAAGTGTGCAGATGCCAATGTGCCAGCCCAGCACTGATTCCACCCGAGCAGGACCCGCTGGCCTTTCGGCTTCCCTGGAGTGCACATTCCCACTTCCTGTAGCCAAGGGCCTGGCTGCACTAACTGGCTGCCTGGCAGCACGAACACTGGCCTGGAATTCAAGCAGCCATTCCAGCCGCTGGTACAAAGCTGGCTCCCTCCCTCTGACCAAGAGTAATTTCACTTCAAAGGCTGTGGCCTATGCAGTCTTACCAAGTCCTTGAGAGCAGATTTACCTCTCCCCACTCCTTTCGCTGTTTTAAACATGTTGAGAGGAAACAGATGATGCTCCCTGAGGGCAATACAGTGATTACACTGGACAAGCTCTAAGGGTGAACTTCAGGGGGAATGCAGAGAGCCTCATGAATGAGTATGAAAATGCACTGTATGAGAAAAGCCGACAGGTCATTTGTGTTTGTCAAATGGAGCTCACTTGGCAGTGGATTCATGTCCTCTGTGGACAGAAACCCTTTCTTGGTCTTGTCTCTGTTGGGTGGGACACAGCAAAGGCCAGGTCCAGTAATAAGCTGGTGCAGACACCAATTCTAACACCAGACCTGTGTCACCTAGAACTCCTGGCAAGTCACAACGAAATGAGTTCTGCAACCTCCTTCCTAAAATGTAGTGAGGCTCAGGAAAGAGACTTAAACCTTACCACACAGTGAAATGGTCTGAAATGTATGCATGTGGAAAAAAAAAAAAAAAGTGGTATGGCTAGCAGTATGGTGTATTAATAAAACTGGCTCTGTGGTTTGTTTGCTGAGGGGGTCTGGGGAGGCACTTATAAGAAATACCTGTTTCATGTACTCTGCTCTTGAAGAGTATTATTAAGTCTCAATAGGTAAATAATGAAAAACACATGATTCTCAGACCAGGCAGTAGCCTTTAAGTATTGGCCAGCCTTCTGCATTGTTCATGCTGCCTGCACAGCCCAGCCTCTGCCGCTCATGGCACCTGCTCCTGATGTTCTTGGCCATGACAATCAAAACACCGGAGGCTGCCCCTTTAGGGCAGGAACTGCCCGTCACAAAGACACAAATCTTTAACACCCATTCTAAACATGTTTTGAATATTTTTCAATATGACCCTGCAAATAAACACAGAATCAAGGTGGCTTACTGCTTGGCCATTAGCTTCATTTCCCGTACGGGCCGAGAGGAAAGATTTAACAGACTGATGGGGCACCTGTGCAGTCATCATTTTAGCCCCAAGGACTTCCAGCAAAAGATGTGTCCTGAAGTTCTCAGAGAAGGGGCTCCAGACAGCTTGGCTGTGTAGTTACAAATTTCCTCTCCTGACTTCTTGTCCTATCTAAGTGTCCAGGTGCCACAGCTGGGCAGAGATGAGTGGCCCAGTCCAAAGGGATTTTACAGACAGAGAACTGTAAGGGGCCACTCCTGCAGCTTCAGTGTGACCAGAATGCTAGGGCCAGAGCCAAGTCATTACAAAGTGACAAAGACCTTTTTGAAGATGTGCAAAAAAGAACATTCCATAGTATTTCCTCAAAAAGACTAGAGATTCTCTAATGACAAATAATAATACAAAACATTTTACCTCAACAGTATTTATTTATTACTGCGTGATCCTTAGCATGGTAGGGTAAACAAGGCAGCAATTACTGCCCTGCTTTTAGAGAAAACTAAGGCAAGGCAAAGCAAAGCAAAGCAACTTTTATTAGTTACAAGGTAAATGGTGAAATTATCTGGAACACAGGCCACCCATCTTTTAAAATTTACCCTTTCAACATCACTCCCCTACACATGCATGTGCTATCTGAACAGCTAGCAGACTCCTCAGCCCAATAAACCCAACAGCCAGCCTTGGAAAAAACCATAAAGGGAAAATGCATGGGGAGGAGAGGCTGCTTTCTGTGTTTCCCTGTTAGACTGTTTCCTTGGAGCCTACCTACAGGACTTGGCACACGGCTGTTGTTTGGTGAAATATCTGTCAAACAAAGTGGTATCATTTTACAACTGTTTATAACTTGCATCTTAATGAATAAAATAAAGACTCCGATAATGTTGATAATCAACCCCCCAAATAATACTGTTTCCCTACAATGTCTGGGGTGGTGGTGAACTGCTAGCTTTCAGGATTAGAAATGCAACTGGTGCCAAAACCCTGCACTTAAGGGAGGTGAGACAGGGTGCACTGGCACAGGGGTGAGAATCTTCTTAAAATGAAAATGCTGGCTTCTCATCTAACTCTGTTCTCGGTCCCCTGTAACACTGAACAAGCTGACCGTTAAAAGGATGTGATACTCCTCCATGATTCTGTAACAGGAAAGACAGGCTTTAATGCTCATTTCACCTCACCAGTTTGTTTAGACAGAGATAAATGATCCCAAGGGTATTTAAAACAGGTTATTCAATCTCAGCATTAGTGTCAAATATTAACCAGGGTCTGATCAACAAGTCCATGACCACAGAGACCAACCCAGTGGACAGAAAAAACAAAAACCAACTCACTCGGGATTGTGATTCCATGGAAATAAAGGGACATTCTTTTTAATTTGGCAAAAAGGTAACAGTAAATCTAAATAACAAAGTTCATTAATACACAGAAGGATACTTATATCCCCAGTGAATGAAGATATCCAAATGGCAACCTATATTTCAGGCACTGGCAACAATTTGTACCAGCATAGTATGTTGTACATATTAGTTGGCGATTAAAAAATGGTCAGAAATAATGAGAAAAAATCTCAAGCTTCATAATACCTTCTACGGGAGACTGATCTAACGTAAAATAAAAAAGTACACATGTACCACATTAAAAACCTAATGGAAAATGTCTGCACTTTAATATGGTCACAGCCCAGAAGACAATTGGACTCCATCTATTTGTAAATACAGACAAAACAAGAACCAGGCTTTACCGATTTTATATCTGTTTTCCCTGTACGAAGAGGTCAGAGTGGCAATGCAAAGCCATTAAACACACATACACATTTCTTTTTAATTCTACCTACTGTGGGGGGAAAGAGGCCGTAGCTCAGGGTTTCTCAAACTTGTAAGAGCATACGAGGGGCTGTGGGTGCAGATTCCGATTCAGGGGGTCTGGAGCCTGAGCTTCTGCATTCCTAACAAAGCTTCGCGGTATTGCTGGAGCTGCTGGGCCACGGACAACATTTTGAGGAGCACTGGTAAAAGAAGTTATCAACAGCCAGGTCAGGGCAGGAGGAAGAAAACTGCTGTGGCTCTGAGGCCAGACTCCTTGGGAATCATCTGCTCCCACTGAGCCTACCTCCACCACCACCCCCACCCATGGGCAGAGTTAATAAAGATGCCAGTAGCAACATTGGGTATCAGCCCTGAAGCCTTACAAAAAGTTGTTATTTTGTACCACTGCATAAGGAAAAAAAGACCTAAGTAACAAATTTAAAAACTGTTATCAACAGAAAATTGGGAAAAAAATATCAGATTTCTGGGGGCTGCTAGCATGTGTGTGTCCATCCCCAGAAAGAACCTCCTCTGGCCAAAAAGCTTATCTGCAGGGAAAGGAAGCTGCTTCATCAAGCACTCAGTGAACTTTTACACAAGTCTTTACCTTGGGAAAGAATAAGTTGCTTTGTGTGTTATTACTTTATGCTCCAGTATCACTTCTCTGGAGCTAAAGAAATGACTGAAACCTTACACTCAGGATTAGCTATATAGTTTCAACTCTGCGTCCTTCTCCTGTGCTGATCGCAAAGCCAGCACCACTGGTTCCTCTGTGGCTTCTCACAGGACAGTTTTCTAGAGTCCTTTGTGTAGCTCTCACTATCCCACCCAGGCTAATTAAACATTCCCTGCCTCCTCAGGGGTACAGGCTGAATACATCACACACAGGGAGGAGAACACAAACAACATGTTATAATGGTACCAAACAGCCATAATTACTCTGATAAAAAGAGCTATTCAAAAGGGATGCTGCCAAAGTTTTTCCTCAAACTGAAATTTGCCTCCCCCATGCATATTTGAGTTTAAATTTTCTGGAAAGGAGGGGGAAAAAAAGAAGCCTAGCACAAACCCAAGGCCCAAAAAAGTGTTAACACAGGAAATGCCTGCGACAGAATCTCTGCCACGAACATATACATACATATGCACTCAGCAGAGAAAACATTAAAAAAACAACAACAAAAACCCTCCAGTCTTAAGTTCCGTAAGAAAATCCTGCAATACTCTTTAAGAATATTGCTTCAGTTATTTGTTGCTAATAACAATAATCCTGAGTTGGATAAAACAGCACACCCAATCTATACACTTTAAAAAAAAAAAAAAAAAAGTGATCTAAAAGGTAGATCCTGTCAGGGCATTTTGAAAGAATGCTTTCAAAAAGAGGAGTGAGATCCAAGAAACAGTGGACTTGGAGAATGGGAGGCACAAATTTTAGGAAAAGCCTTTTGTTATCCAAATGTACTTCAGTCCAATTTATTCTTCAGATAAGGTAGTCAGATTCTCAAACGTGCAAGGTGTATCTGATTTCTCACTTTTGAATAACGGCAAGACTGGAAGAAGATGCCATCACATGTGACAAACATTCTCCATCCTTTCTCAAATGCACCAAAGCAAAAAAGCTTTTGAAGACAAAACTGAGACATAATCCCTTGCTCCCAGTAGGGAAATACACAGGTGCCCCCTCCTTTACCCAATGCTAAGAGACAGACCACCAGGCGGCGTGCAAGGCGAGTGAGCTGGAGCTGACACGGAGAGGAGTCTAAATCTGAAGACACTTTTCCACAATTAGGGCAAGTTCTTCACTTTCATGCTTTATTGAAAGTAGAATATGAATCAAAGACAGGTACTGGTAAGCAGGTTTATGTCTCTAAAGAATTACTTTTAGTTCAGAGCAGAATGTTGTCCCATCTATTGTGATACAAATCCTTTATGGACCCAATGCATCTGGTCTGAAACTTGAACAAGGAAATAGAACAGAACTTTATTCCCTCCCATGACTATAAATCTCATGGAAACATGATTTATGGTTACTGCTACTAAACTTGTTCAATCTTTACTTGCCCTGTCCCTCCCACCACCCCTCTTAAATATAAAATTTGAAACATTTCCTTCAAGTCTGATGTCCTTCAGTGCAATCTGCTTTATTTGACATAAGGCATGTGGGACAGTCACTTTTGAATGGATTTCTGCCTTTTAGAAGAGTCATGTAATGGTTTAATTCTTAAATCCACCTTTTCTTTTAATGCCCTAACATGTCAAACTCTTCTTCCCCTCTGGTCATTTCTTAGCAGTCAGCAAGTGTTCAAAGATTAATGTCCAAGTAGACCAGTACCTGGGAAAAGAAACACACGTGGAGGTACAGTTGTGAACTAAAAATTAAGAGTTAATGTATTCCATTTGCCACGAACGCATCATCAACAGGGAATATCCAATTTAATAAATGAGCACAGGAGACCCTTGATGTTGAAGAATATGGAAAAAAAAAAAAAAAAAAAAATCAGCAGACTTCAGGCTTTCAGACAAATCACATTTCTGTTGAAAGCCATGTGCTTCCTATGCATATCTTCACACAAGTTAATCAGATTTCATTGATGTTTTCATCTGATGGTCATTTTTTATAAGAAATTTTTTGTTTTGTTTAAACCACATCAGGAGTTTCTTTGCAGTGGTAACAAGTAGACGACAAAACTGTGTTGAGAGGAAGATTTTAGGCCAGTAGCTTTGGTCACTCGTTTTCTTTAGCAAAGAATCCCCAGTATTTGATTCAAACTCACGCCTCAATGAAATCACAACCTCCCATGGACCTCTGGAGGGGCCCACAAAAAAATCAAAATTGCAACAGCCCATCTATAAATGTCAAAGGTCTGTACTTGATAGATCAATAAATATTATTGCTGCTCACAACTACAGTGGCCAAGATGTGGTACAAGGCACTGTGTTTCTACCTAAAGTAATAATCCAAGAAATGTCTTTATTCTAAATAAATTCATTAAACCTTTTCACTGAACCTGATATAATTCAGTGAATTCTTCGATCCCTAATTGTTATCGGTCACACACAAACTGATGTGCTCTAAAATGGGACTGACAGGAGGAACTACAAAAAGGTTAAATATAAATCTCGAAATGCCACTAGCTAATTTCCCAATCTCCTCCCATGAAATGAGCAAGAGGAAGCAGAACGGACATCTGGCAGTAGATACTTCCAACACCCAGGCCCTATCTCAGGCCTGAGTGCTGAAAAAGATAATGAAGAAGCTTGAATAAAAAATGCATTTAACTAAAATTAATTTCAATCATGAGACTTAGATAGAATTAAATTTTAAAATCAAATTATAGCCTTCACTTTAATAGAAAATTACAGTATGACTCTGACATTCATGAACAAAACATGACAAATGTAACTTACCTTTAAACCCTTCTTCTGGCATACACACTGGGGAAAAAAAAAGAATTCTAAATTAAAAGGATTGTCGTGACAGTAATAAGATCACTTCAATGCCTAAAGACAGAAAGTTTAAAATAACTTTTAGTTACCTTACTCACCTATAATGATTACTTGTGACATTACGGATGATATTAATCCAATGACAACCTTTCTTTTTGCCTTTAGTTTTTATTTTTATCAAAGCAATGCATCTAAAAAAAAGTCAAATACTGGTAGAACAAGCTTTGTGACTAGGGCCACCATCTTGCACAACTCCAGAGGAGGGCTACAGAAAACACCGTAAATGATGCCCTCTGGAGTTGTGTAACACCCTACAGCAGCCTCTCCCCCATCTGCCCCTAATTCCACACTCGAGAAGGAGCTACTTTCGATTCTTCTAGCTGTTTCTTCTGGTATTAAATCTCTTTATTTCTAAATAACATGCTTACATTACCATCTCATAATTTTAGATAATAACAACTTTCTCAAAATAAGATACAATTTAGCTTATACCACCTTACGTACCACCTGCCTCCTAACATATCCTTCTGACACAGAAATATTTTTTGTTGTTAAACCAATCTCCAGTGGTTATATTACTCTGACTCCATTAATACTGCCCACAGCTGAGCCCCTTGGTTATAATTCTGGTCTAGTACAACTTTTTTGTCTTTCTGGGCTTGGTAACTACTGCATTATTTATGTGCTTCATTTTCTCTGTAACTATCTCCAATTCAACTGTAAATTCTTAAAGACGAGTACACCTCTTCAAGACAGTCATCTATCAACTCCACTCTTCCTGCAGACAGCCGTTCCAGAAGCCTGCATCCCAACTGCTCCAACCTGGACAGGACACGCTGCCTGCTACAGAGCTTCTGTTCGGGGATTTCCCTTCACCATCTTCTTGGGCATCTTCTTCTGTGCTGGATCCCTTCTTTTCTGGTTCCAATGTTGACTTCCTTCTTGAGTTACTCTCTTGTTTGAGAAGAGCACATCCTTATGTGCTCTTGATAAACGATGCACGAGAAAATTTTGTGCACATTGCTCCATTATCCTGTCTTGCTGACTCCTCACCCTATAAATGTGATTCGTTTTCTCTCCACCTCTTTAGATGCTTTTAGGTTCTTATTCCTAGTTTTTCACTCACTGTTATCAGTCCCCTGGTACAATCATTTTGTATTTCCATGAATTCTTTTCTGTTCTCCAAATATTCCTTTTATACAGGCGTTAGCTATTGTTTGCTCTTTTTTAAATAAATTATTTGTAGAAGTTTTTAAGTTTTCTTATGCTTCCTGCACTATTTTCCTCTGGGTTGCTTTTTTTCAGTTTTTTGGTGGACATCTCTCATTTCATGTTCTCATTCCTCAACTGCCCAGGGATCTTGGCCTGCCCATTTCTAACTATTTAAGGGTGAGGTACTAAAAAGATGCCCGAAAGCTCTGTTCATTGGGTATTGGTGGGCTTCACTAAAGACAGCCTGGGAGATCAACCAGCATTTAAAAATTTGCAGTCTATTATCTTAAATTAACCAGTTTCCTCAGAGAGGAGTCCCCTACTCTCCTGTCTAGGAGGTTATGAGGCTGGTTGCCAGCATTTTAACAAAGGGTACTTAACAGGCCTCATTCCCACTTTTCTAGTTTAATTTCTTCAAGGAGTTTTTTAAAATGGTCAATGACCAGCACAGACTCTAGCCGTCCGTCTAAAGTACAAGTTGGGAAGGAGTGACAATTGTGATGGGAGGGGTGTGAGGGTCTGTGGGCTAGAGAGCTGTCTAACTGCTTCTTACACAGTTTTTCAACCAAGCTTCCTGGGTTTAGGCTTACACTTCATTCCCACTTTCAGAGGTACCTGGTGTCTCCAATTCCTGTGGCCATCTGGGGCTCTGATATCTGAATTAGCTTTGTCTTGCTGATCTCTTCCATCTGCAGATTTACATTTATTTCAGTTTCCTCAGGTTAGCCAAATACTACTCTTCCTCTCTGCTTTCCACATCCTAAAATTTTGTGGACACCTCCCTACTCTTTGTACGATCTTTTAAGACCAATAATGTAAGATTCTACCTTAACAGCATGTAGAAGCTTTTTTCAAGGTTGAAGGTAAAAGCACTGTAGATTAAAGTTTCAGTATCTACCATTCCACCTCCTTCTAACAGTTCAATCCTAAAACAAGTTCATCTTTACCTTGCATGACATCATCCATTGCAGCATAATCTGCAATTGGTTCATCAGCCTAGAAAACAAATGAAGACAATTCAAAACCACAAGGGAGTGGGAGCTAGGAGGAAGAGCATGGCAGATACTCATCACACTGAAGGCTGGGCCACGGTTCAAATACTGATATTGCTACAAGATACAAACACTAACAATGTCCAGCAGAGAACCCAGCTCAAGTCACAGCAAGAACACGGGCTCCTCACCCTGCAGGCTGCATGTTGTGTGTGGCATTGTTTTCCCGCTCCTAAAAACACCTTTAGCTATGGAAATGTTTAGATACCCTGAGGTTACTAAAAACAGATTTAATTAATATGAGTTAAGATGCTAGTGGTGGGAGGGAGAGTTAGGCAGAAGTAAAAAAGTTAGATTGGCCCTCTGAAAATACCAGTTGGGTGAAAAATAAATTTTTCTTCCACCTCACTGTGCATAAAGAACTAAATATCCATTTCCTTCCTAGGGCAGAAGCCAGTACTGAGTCAGAGTTTATGGCGAGATTACCTGCAAGGGCCAAGAGGCCAATGACCAGCACAGATTCTAGCTGTGCATCCAAAGTACAACCCTTTTAATACAGGCCATTTCTAGGATTTTACACAGAATCATTAGGATCCAGCAATTCAACAGGTTCTCAAAATCATTTCACAGAATGTACTGTTGCAAAAGAAGCACAAAGTGAACAGGGGGAGGGGTAGGTGTTGGGGTGAGTGGCATGCATACATGTGTAGGGGCAGATATGGGTCTACTTCATCATTTCCAGGCCTTAATTTTATCATATCAGAATTAGAGCTCTAGGGAATAAAAAGCACAGATTTCACATTTCAAACACCTGAAAAATTACTCTACCACATGACGCAGTGGTGTTTGGCACACTGGGATCTTTCTGGCCACCAAGAAACAAAAGAGGCAAAGGGAAGTGGTGAAATTAGGCCCTTAGGGAGGGTAGGGCTGGGTTAATGAGGCTGGTTCAATGACTCTTTTTCTCTGCAACTTCTCAGAAGCCCCCACCTTCCGAAATACCTTCCACTTCTACTAAATCCATTCTTCCGAAGGCCAATTTCCATACCGTGGACAAGAATCCCATTAAGCCAACTGAAAAGATTTTGACTGTTTTGACAGAGCCTCATGTTTTATTCTTGTCTCCTTGCTTGATTAGCTGGTACTTTTGAGCCAGGAGGAGAAGACAGGATGCTTTAATAGGAGAAGTATTGTTAAAATAATTCTCCTCATCCAGAAGTTAGCGAGGAGGTTGATGAGGCCTTGAAGAGCCAGTAAGCAAAGACCAGGGGGTTTTCAGATTTTTGTTAAAATACAAGATCTAGGTTTTAAAGTATAAAATATGTTATGAGAGTTACTATCACATATGTATGCATCCTCAATCCATTTCAAAGTAAGCTGCAGGCATCAGTATCATCAGTGTGGTTTTAATAAATGTCCAACTAGTTTAAACAAAAAAAAAGACACCAAAGAAACTTTACAGTCTAAGACCAGGTGACCCAGCTGGTCCAATGAGGTTGTCCCTGGGACTGATAAGTCAATCCTCAGGACTCAGCGGGGTGTGGCCCAACATCACCACCCTTTCTTTCCCTGAAGGTAATGAAAAATAGATTTGTATCTGGAGAAGACTGGGGCTCCTTGCTGTTGAAAACCAAACAGGAGAATCAGGTTCAGGACTTAGCGGGTGGGTGAGGGGCATTTCTACATCATACTGTCTCAACAGGGAACAGAAATGATGATGATGATGACAATAAAAAGAATGATGATGATGATATAACCTGACCTCATAAGGGCACAGATACTGAGCTAGGCGATCTAGGATAAGGGCTTAGAAGAAGCCTCCACCTTCGCCTTCTTAGGATATAGGCAATTGTTGACGTCATGGCGTCACTGCAGCCTACTGTGACACACAAGAAGAAGACCCAATGATGTCTTGACCTCCTCGAAGTCTCTTGAGGCTTGACCAGAGCTCAGTAACGACAGGCCAGCAAAACTCCACCGGAGTCGATTATCACTACACCCTGCAGAGGACCCGGGGCATCCTTAAATCACCATTCCGTGTGGTTCACACTTCGGTGTGTATCAGCAAAAATCTTCTAGAGTTCCTCAAGTAAGCAGCTGTTACTTACCTTTAACAAAATGACAGATTCAGGAATGACGCCAAGGGTGCCAAGGGTGGCACAGTCATCACTTAAAATTTTTCCATCAATTGACAAATTCTGGTCAAAAGGAGCAACTGAAAACGCATGCATGATCTGTGCCAATATAAAAGAAATAAAGTTTGCATAAAGCAAAATACTGAGACCTACACCCTATTTGACTAAATAATGCATGGAGTCTTTTAATAAAAAATTAAAAAAAGGCTTCAGAATACAAAAGATACTACTGTTTTCAGTCTGCCCGCTTGTTACATTCCCAGAGACTATAATCCTAATATATCTGTGCACGTCCTTAGGAGGTCTGGTAGAGAATTAGGAAACAATTATACACAGATTCTTTTTTTCTGTATCTTACCACCTCCCCCAAGGGTGGGGAGGTGCGGAAATCAAGCTGACAGTTACTCTGGTTATATGGTGCAGGTAAGGTCAGCACCATCACTCCCACCATCTCCAGGCCCCACATCCTTTAATAAATACGTCAAGTCTAAATTCTTTCTTAAGATCATCTTTAAACTAATCAGCAGTCTATTTGGATTTTTCTCCCTTTTGTTTTTATGCTTTTAGCAAGCAGCCCGTAATACATAATTCAGTCCTATTCTTAGACTGAGTCTTCTAAGAACCAAAATACAAATTTCTGCAGGGCAGGAACTTTTATACTCCACCCCAGTTCTGGCTAAGGTGATAAAAATTAAATATACTTAGAATAACTGTTATTTATGTATAACACTGAAATTTTTTTTTTTACATTTAGAAAATTTTTTTGTTTTTAATCTCATCATTTCCAGGTAGTAATTACCTCTGGGGGGCAAGCCAGCACAAGTTAGGCTCAGATAGGCACACAAAGGTACCTTCAATGATACTGTTCTAATTTTTAACGTACAGGGCTAGTTGAAGAGTATTTATCTTATTATGCTTCATAACTTAGTTGCATATTCATTGAACATATTCTATTGCATGTATCTTGTATTATACCAACATCCATGATGTTATGGGAAAACCATTCTACCCTTTTCTACACTCTACTCTTCAGATCTGGGAAGACAAGATGAGGCTAGCAAAGCAGCCCTGATGCAACTGTGTGTATAACAAGGCCCAAGAGCTTTACAAGCTGGGGAGACTGGGACTAGAAACACGATTTTAATAACGGCATACAGATAAACAAGGACAACACTGGCTTCTTCCTTAACTGTTGGGTCAGAATCTTATCTGGACTTCTCAAATGGACAACAGGCCCAGAGAAACAAGCATGGATTGATTAAACAGGGATCTGTGGCTAACGATGCAAAGTACACTGGCATCATTCATGATCTGCCTTGAAAGCAATAAGCCCATTTCTGTTGAACAAGAAGTACTGGTCAGATAGTTCTACCAAAAACAGCTCAGCACACAGGCATTAAACAGAGGCAACCAGTCCCGGGTTAGCTAAAAGGACCCAAGAAGAAGAAAGCAGAGTCACTGTGGAAGTGTCTGATGTTAACTTAATGTGGGCAATGTCAGAGCTGCTTGATGGTAGGAATACTTGTTCACTTCCCTAAATGCTAAATGTCTTTGCACTACCTTATGGGATTGGACAAACAGCAAATATCTCAAGACATGAGTATGACTGCTCAGGGGCTGATGACAAGAACATTTAAATTCATTCAAAATGTAATGAAGCTTTTATTAAGAAGCTACTATGTGTCAAGTATTGTGGTAGGTGCTAGAAATATAAAAGTGAATAATCCCACTTAAGAGGGGTTCACAGGAGTGGGGAAAAATAAAGTATTGAAGATGGTGGCAGAAGGTTATGTACAGGATCTAATGGGTACACAAAGAAAGGAAGAGTCAGTCCTACAATAGTGGCTAACACAGGTTTCGTAGACGTGGTGCTAGGGAAGATGAACACGTATTTGCTAGTGAGGAGAAGATAACGCTTCAGAATGAGGGAACAGGCCAACTGAAGGTATGGAGACCTGTGGTACAATCCCTAGTAAACCTCAGAGGCTTCCAGAACGCCTGAGTATAATGAACGTTACTTAGTATGTTTAACGAGTGGGTGCAGCATTCCTGATCTATGGAGCATAACAGAAACGATGAAAACCCTGTTCCTGAAGGTGAGCTGCTCCTTGCAGCTCACCATGGAGGGTGGGACTGAGAAAAGAAAATGTGAGAGCAATGGTCTCAACTGCAGCCATTTTAACCTCTGCACCAAAATTTCCTCCTCTCTAAGGCAGAGAATACTACCCACTTAAAACCTGTATTTGGGAAAACGAAATAATAACAATTAAACATGGAGAATCTTCTGATAAAGACGAATAAATTGTACTTCATTTAGTTTATGGCATCATAGCTTGGATGAATAATAATTAGGTGAAGCAAGTTTGTTAAGGTTTCAAGCAACTGTGTATGGATGTTTCTAAAATCAGAACATATACAGTTTTGCAAAGGCTGTCATCCTATTAACTTGGGAATGTAGTATTACCTAGAGGAAAAGCTCCACCAAACATAAAAAATGCATTACACACTTTGAAAAAAAATCACCCACCACCACCAAGGATCCCATTTAGGCCCATCACAAACTCCAATGCTATTCAGGCTGCTAAGCTACCACCACCACTGAGCAGCGAGGGGAAAATTACATTTTGTTGCCCTTTCTTTTGACTCTGTTTGGATCACAGTGATGCTTGAAGCAAGAATGGGAGATGAAAGGAAGGACACTGCAAAGGGCCCATTCAAGGAGAGCATATCTGGGGGCTTCATTTGAACAGCTGCTGCTTTACAGCAGCTCATTCGTGCAGGTAACATGCACCCAGATGGAGAGGTTACTTCTGCAGACTTATGATTTATTCTTCAAAAATGGCAGTCCATAATAAAAGCAGCATAGGCTTTTCAAAATGTCTTCATCCACAGGGGCTCTTTCTGTAATTCAAAGGTTTTGAATGTTCGAGGTTTACCACTGACAGGCAGAAAGCCAGTGATAAAAAACAAGCTTTCTCAGATGTAAAAAATACAATGATGGAGTAAAGATATTATGTCAACACGTTTATTTTCTGAGCCGTGGGTTCACCCAAGGGAAACATTGTTCCCAGGACAATCTGGAACACATAACTCCCTCAAAGGAAGCCTGTACTTTTGCTTCAGTTGTAATGATAAATATCAGCGACAAGAAAAATGCTTAACCAGTAAACTATGCCACATAAAAGTAGCAAAGGGGGGAGTTCAGATTAGGGGCCAGATTTTTTTAGAGACATCTTGAATTTATCTGCTCCTTTTGCCTAAGCTTTAAGCATTGCAATGCTCACTTACAGTACTTCAGTACTGATACCAAGAAATAACAATATCATGAGTATTTTCATAATATCTCCATTACAGTCACCGAACGATTTGCAAAGAAAGCAACGAGTGCTTTTAGTGGGATAGAGAGAGCATGATCTAAAATGAACTTTTATAACAACTTGGAAAACACCACTGTATAAAGAGAGGTGGAGGTAATTTATAAATCCATCAAGTGGATTTATCTGCCACCAAAAATATTGTGATAAAAAGAATTTCTGACTCATCCAAGTGAATCAGCTATCAAGGGGCTGCTTTTATCTATTCTTAAATCTCAAAGCAGATTCTGGTAACAGGCTCAAATACCTATTAAGTGGTCAAAGAAAAACATACAGCACAAGGTGAGAGAACAAGTATCCTGAAACAACCTCAACATGTGACAAATTAAATGGTTCTCAATGTTTCTCATTATTAGAAAGCTACTCAGAGCTTGCTCAAGTTTTCAGAACCAAAAAAACACTTTCATCTTCACAGAGAGATTCTTGGCTGTTTTTGAAAATGTTAATTCTTTTTATAGAAGGAGTTATTATAATTTTTGGGCCCTGCAGGGATTATTCTGAAATTTTAAAAAGCCCTCTCTCAATGGCTTAATACTATGAGCAGACAGGTGTTAAAAGGTCAACCCTGAAAGAAAACACAGATAAACGTATATAAACAGAAAGCAGGAATTCATGAAGGCCCTCATTAAGTCCAGAGCACACTTGAAGAAATGCTGTATTTTCCTTACCTGAATTTTTAATTCCTTTAATGTCTGATTAGCAGAAACGAGAAGTGCTTTCTCACCACGAACTTTTCTATGTCTCATACTTCGTCGAATAACTTGCTTTTGATAGGCTATATAATTTTGATGGGATATCTTTTGCCGCTTTGTTCCTCCATTGCTCTGTAAATAAAGATTCAAAACAAAGAAAGAGTGAAATTATCCACAGTGTGACCCCTTGCTCATAAAGTTCATCATGTAAACACAAGCTACTTACTTAATGGTCCCTTAACCACTAGAAATTCAATGTAAACAATGAGTAGGAACTTGCCAGAGGTCCTTTGCAGGCTCACACAAAATTGAAAAAAGAATGAGTGATACATACTTCTAATTGCACGTAAACACCAAGATTTAAAATATCATGATTTTTAAAAAGACATTTAAAAGTAAAATGTCAAGTTTAATGTTAAATCAGAAAATACATGTGATAAACTGAAAAAATTCAAGGTTACTAAATTTAATTTATGAACAGCCTGAATTCTCATTTATTTGTTTTAAATCTTTTCTTCTTTTTTTGAGAATGACACGGAAGCTAAGTAAAAACTGCTGAGAACTTTAAAATGAAAGATAGTACCTTAAACTAAAAACAGGATGAGACATATGCCTCGTCATGACAATGTCATACACAGCTTCCCCTATGAAGTACTCTTGCAAAAAATGTTAAACCTGAATCTAATCATTTAGACCCAATATCCAATTTACAGAAAATATAGGGGATAGAGGAATAAGTTAAAATAAAAAACCTAACACAACTAGATGGTGTCCGGCTACCACCACCGACTGCTCTGACAGGGATTACAATAGAGGGTCCCTGACAGAGCTGGAGAAAAATGTAGAACAAAATTCTAACCTACAAAAAAAGACCAGACTTACTAGTCTGACACACTGGAGAAACCCCGAGAGTATGGTCCCTGGATACCCTTTTAACTCAGTACTGAAGTCACTACTGAGGTCTACCCTTCAGCCAAAGATTAGACAGGCCCATAAAACAGAACAAGACTAAATGAGCACACTAGCGCAGGGGCAAGGAGGACGAGAAGGCAAGAGGGGACTCCTGTAAGGTGGTAATGGGGAACCCAAGGTGGACAAGAGGAGTGTTGATATGTCGTGGGGTTGGCAACCAATGTCACAAAACAATACGTGTATTAATTGCTTAATGAGAAACTAATTTGCACTGTAAATCTTCATCTAAAGTACAATTAAAAAAAGAAATAAAAACAAAAAACATAAGAAGGTAAACAGTCAAAGCCTGAATGTGGGACAATCTTTAAAGAATCAGACTGGTCTCTAAGTCAATGTCAATAAGGGAAAAAATGGGAGTGGGGAGGTAGGATAACTGTTCTAGATTATAATAATCTTTAGACTTTAGTGGTGGCAAAACAACGCATACCTTGACTGCATATTGGTTTGAGGAAAAAATTTAAGACATACTTGGGATAACTGGAAAAATTTGGATATGAGTACATTAGGGAAGTTTTATTAATTTTCTTATTTATCAGCACAGTATTGGTGTTATAAAGCCAGTCTATTTCTAGAATATGCTGGCTTATCCTATTTAGGGGTAAAATGTCATGATGGTCACAATTTACCTAAAAATAGTTCAGCAAAAAAGCACACACATATCTACAAGCACATGCATATACAGTACTAGTCTTTTACATTTTTGTACTAAAAAGTAAGAAAAAAAATAGGTGTAAGAGTCAAATGTCCTTCTACGATACTACTATAAACACCTCAAATAAGGGTCAATAGTCAAGGTTCTTCTGCTAACCAGGTCAGGGAATGAAAGAAGCAGGATTTAAAAATTATTTTTTCTTGGGGTGGTTCTACTCTGTCACATAGGGTCACTATGAGTCGGAATCGACTGGACGGCACACAGGAAAAGAAACAGGATAAAGACGGACATAAAATTTCAACGTCCAAAATGTCTTGCTTTCTTTCTTCCCACTTCTGGAAGGCAGGGCATTATCTGAGGAAATTAGGAGGAAATACGTTTTCCATTTCCTTATAGCAGGATTTTAAGTGTTGATTATCTTACAAGATTTGTTTGATGACCATAGCTTTATAGCTTTAACTTTTTATTACAGCATAATATTAAAAAAAAAAAAAAAAGTACCTACCATTTAAAAAAAAAAAGGTTTTCTCTTGTTTAATAAAATCTGGATGAGGTAATCCCAAGGCCCTGGCTCTGGCTCTGTAGCTATCACTGGGTGTCAGCTGTACACAAGCAGAGTGGTTTAGGGATCATTATGACACAGGTGCCATACACTCATTACCAACAGAGCTCCACAGATTTATAAAGAAGAGGATCAGGACACAAACACAGAAGCGCATTGGTTCAGGGTGACATCCATTGGCTAGGCACAGCACAAGGTTAGGTTCAGCTCTAGCCCTGAGTCTAAATAGATACACAGCTGATTCTAAGATCCATACAAAAGAAGTTAAGTGAACACAGGGCTTAGGGGTTCAAAACAATCAGGAGACGACGAAACCTTTTTCTTGACTGTTGAAAGAAAAGTCAATTCCACAATTAGGAATATAAGGAAAAATATAACAAAATATAATTTTAGACTAGAAATATAAAACATAACCTAAAAAAAGCCCTGGGCATCAGGCAAGATGCATTTTTTAATGACTGATTTTAAATGGGTCTAAAAGCTTTTTAAAAAATCCATAGTATTTAAATCCCACTTAACTGACAAAAACAAGCCCAATGGTTTTACAAGGCTTTCAATTACCTAAGTGATACCCAATACTGGGTACATCATTAACCTAAATTTTAGATAAAGTCAGAGGAACTGGGTTGATCTAGCTTAGAGAAAGAGGGGAAAGGGGATTTGTTCACCTCCATTAAGGACAAGCAGAAATGCATCATTTTTTATTACAGGGATTTAGAACAGCAATTACAGAAGCTATCTATGGACTGAGATACTGTAACATATAACAAAGAAAAGGTGTGAGGCACCCTTAATTGAAAAGGCTTGACATTCTTCAGGGACCATCTACTTTTTTCTAGAGAAGGAAGGTTAGCCTTGAGATCTTTAGTGGGCCAAAAATATTAAAAATGTTCTATAGTATTTATAACATCTCATCAAGGAGAAGGAAGACAGAAGAAAATTATAAAGTATAAAAAATAATTACAGCATAAAAAGCAGTGTTTCCCAACATTCACTATCATATTGATAAATGTGAAATGTTTGTCATCCACAACTGAGGAGTAATTCACATCCACTTTCTAAAGGCTGGTGTGGTTATGACCACAATAAATAAAAACTAGATGTTCAAAAAAATTAACCTCCTCAAATCTAAATCACTTTAAAATGCAGAGTTTTATAAATAACCCTTAGGCTGAAATGCAAAGCCTAAAATAACAGAAATTAATGACAATAAGAACCTATATATGAAGCTTAACAAATTTACAAAGTTTACCAGAAGAACAGAGAATAAAATGGTGACAACAGGCAAGAAAAGATTTGAAAAAAAAAACAAAAAAAGGCATTCTCGAATGATTATTAAACCATACCACACAGCTGTAGGAGCCCTGGTAGCACAGTGGTTAAGATCTCAGCTGCTAACGAAAAGGTCGGCAGTTCGAATCCACCAGCCGCTCCTTAGAAACTCTACTGAGCAATTCTACTTTGTCCTATAGGCTTGCTGTGAGTCAGAATCGACTAGACAGCAACGAGTTTTTTTGGTTTTACAAAGCTGTAATAATTAAAATAACACGGTACTGCCCCCAGGCAGATGAATGACAGAGAACGGAGTCCTGAATCAAGGTAGGTATGCGTAGCTCCTGTGTACACGGACACCGGACACGGACACCGGACACGGACACGGACACGGACACACGGACACACGGACACACACACACACACACACGGACACGGACACGGACACACGGACACACACACACGAATATTATACAGGCAGTCCCTGACTTACGATGGGGTTCTGTTCTGATGACTCCATCATAAGTTGGTTCTGATGTAAGCTGAATCTTTTTTTTTTTTTAAGTCTTCATTATTGCCTTTTATTATCAGTATCTTTATAAATCCAATCTTTGTCTTTGGGGGTTTGGCATGAGAATGAAAACATCCGCAAATTACATGCTGCAACACTGTATGTAGTACCTATTACTAACAATAAGATGTACCCAAAAAAAGATGGTTGTTTTAAGTGTAATTCGTTGTAATTCAAATGTATTGTAAGTCAGAGACTACCTGTATGCTTATTTTTAATGTATCAAAAAAGCAAACACACTAGTTTGTAGATCTGTGGCTTGGAAGATGGACTGTACGTGGAGATGGCAACATGAAAAAGAGTTGGCTACAGGGAGAAGGCAGCAGGCAAAGTTAGGTCTGCAAGCTCCTATTATCTGATTTATTATATAATCTCAAAAAGCACTACAATGCTGACTGACTGAAATACGAACTTGGCAGGATGATTTTAACACAAAAGCTACTGATCACTGTTGGCAGGGTAGTGTGTAGAACTGCAGAGTTTTGTTCTTTCATGAGCGATTCAAAGTTAACGTTTTAAGAGATCCTATAAGCCATGGAAAACAAATGAGGTTTCTTCCATGTTGATGTATTCCTTTACACAAGCTGGGAAACGGCGTGTAACATTTATCTCAGGGAGACCAAGACTGAAGTCAAGAGGGTTTTCAGACTTTCCTAATCAATGTTGAAAATGAAGCAACAGCATCAGTCCTTACAGTCAGGCCAACAAGCCCAGATATCTCTGCTGTAACAGATGTAGCAGATGGTCATTATAACACTTTTATTCCTTCAGGGAAAATGCCAACTGTAATTTGACTACAATGTTATTTTAGCAGTAAAGAAAGAAAACAAGTTTCTTATCTGTTAAAACTAAACTCTAATTAGAGTAGAAATTCCATGAATTTAAGGTGTCTGTAGAATGTACTGGAACACAGTGGTTTGACTTTTTAAGAAGCAGAACTTATCTACATCACAAATCAACCAAACATTCCCATATTATATCCTGTTACTTAAGACAATTTTCTCTAGTATCACTATGAACATGTAGAATATAATCAAGCAACCAAATAAAAGGGGTAGAAGATCATAACAGAAAACCTAGAAAACAGAAGAATAGAAGAATTTTGAGTTAGTTACAATGGGAAAGGAAAGACTAATACATCAGCTGATTTGGCCAGTTGACTAACAACTTTAGAGACCTGAAAATCTCTTCTGTATACTCCATTATTAACGTTATTGCTTATTTGTTTGTAAAGAGGAAATCTGAGTTAATTTTTTCATGCTTTAAGATTCCATGATTAAACAACAAACAGATATGAATCTTGTTTTAGCCTTCTTTTTAGCTAGAAGATTAATCATTATGTTATATTCTAGCCTTCTGTACTCAATAGCAAGAAATATATTAATTCTGGAATAATGTGGTCCATGGCTTTTCATGAGAAATTAGAACAGCTGTAGTGTGCCACTAAAACTGAGGAAAGAGAACGAGGAAAAAGAGGGAGCTAACAACCAACACCCCACAGGGCACAGAGAGGCGTGCAGGGGCATGGAGTGGCGGCTCTTTTGGAACAGGGGAGGTATAAGAATAAAAGGTAGCTTCAACACATACTTGATTAAAGTCTGGATCTTTTTCTCCATCTGGTTTAGCTTCCTCCTTGTCCTCCTCGGTTTCAGAACTACTCACATTCAGCTCTGGAGCTGAATCCTTCATCACCTGAATGGACCAGGACAACAGAGATAAGTAGGTCAGATCCTAGGAAGGCATGCTATGGAGGGTGTGTATGGGGGTAGGGGTGGGGACTGCCAGCAATCTTTATGAGGAGCAGAGAAGACTGCATCAGTGGTGGGATAACAGACCAGACAGGGGATCAGGAATCAAGTGCTTTCTGTTTTCTATGCTCCCCTCTTCCCCCTTTTTATTGTGGTGAAGTATATGTGACAAAACATTTGCCACTTCAACCATTTTTATGTGCACAATTCAGTGACAATTAATTACATTTACCATGTTGTGCAACCATCAACACCATCCATTTTCAATTTTTTCCTCACTCTTAACTGAAACTCAGTGCCCTTTAAGCAGTAACTTCCCCTTGTCCCTATCCCTGGTAACGATTAATAAACTCTGGTCTCTGCATTTGCTTATTCTAGATGTTTCCTGTAAGTGAGATCATACAGTATTTGTCCTTTTGTGTCTGACTTCTTTCACACAGCATGTTTTCAAGGTTCATCCATGTCATAGCACATAACAGAACTTCATTTCTCTATAGCTGAGTAATATTCCATTGTATGCATATACTGCATTTTGTTTAGCCATTCACTTGCTGATGGACACTTGGGTTGTCTCCCTCTTTTGGCTATTGTGAATGATGCTGTAGTGAACACTGGTGTTCACCACATTGAATGAAGATGAAAATGGCACAGAACCAGGCAACGTTTCGTTCTGTTATATATAAAGGTCGTCAACAGTTAAGAGCCAACTTCACAGCAACTAACAACAATGAACAATAGTGTACAAACATGTCTGAGTCCCTGCTGTCAAGTCTTTTGGGTATTGTAAAAATGGCGTGGCAGACCTCCTCATCTAACTTCACAAGGGGAGAGGGGAATCAATACCAACATCAGCCCAAGGCTGATCCCTATGAGGTCAGACATACCTCCTCTCTCCAACCTTTTTACCAATTCTGACACCAGCCGTCCCTCCCATGGCACTCTCTACTTCTCTGCTGGGTTCGATAATTCATTGCAATGGCCAGCTCACAGACCATACGCACAGTTAATGGATTTATTAGGGAAGTAAGATGTTACAAATCACGATCAGGATCAGGAAGCATGCAAAGTCTGGAAGGCTCCTCCTGAAGGCAGCACATCCCTCCCTTCTTCAGCGCAGGACGGCTATTCCAGTTCCTCTAAGCCACACAGGCCTCTTCTTGGGCCCCTGAGGACAGGTTCCTCTCAGCCCCCTCAGGATAGGCCTTATTTCTCTGCCCTGGGCCTCTGCTGGGGCCAAGCATCTGCCTTGCTCAGGCAAGCATTATAAAGCTCTTTAGCTCTACTGATGAGTGCCCAGGGGCACCCCACTATGCCAGGAAGCCTCCTGCCTGAAAGCGGTCAGCTCTCTTGCTCTGTGAGTCGGAAAACCTACTACAGCCGCCTCACTCTGTGAGTAGGGAAGCCCACCATGCCATCCCCAGCTGGTCTCCTGGTTATCACTGCTCATGCTGGTGCTGCTGGACTCTGCTGTGCTTGCTGCTGCTTCTCACAGTCTCATGTTGTCTCTGGTGTTGCAGCTCTGTCTCCTGGGTCTAGGACGTTTTCAGTGCAGGGACCCTGGGTCCGAAGGACATGCTCCACTCCAGGCTCTTGTTTTTGATGGTAGTGAGATCCCCTTCTCTGCTTCTGGGACTGGCTCCATTTAAGCCTAGCGGGATGGCAAAACTGACCATCTCCTCATTAAGGTTCCATACATCTTATTTGCACAGTCGCATACAACAAGGGTGCCATCTACCTTATTTGCATTATTAGTAAGTCCCATCCCCTTGGTGGGCCACAAGCACCTTATTTGCATAGTCCCACCCAATCATTCTGTGGGAGTCACAAGTAACATGGCCAGAAGGGCCATATTAAGTTAATTCCCTGCACTGTAGGTATATACTTAGGAGTGGAATTGCTGGGTCACATGGCAATTCTATGTAAAACTTTTTGAGTAATGGCCAAACTGTTTTCCACAGTGGCTGCAACATTTTATAATTCTACCAGCAATAGATGAGGGCTCCAATTTCATCCTTGCCAACACCTGTTTTGCATTTTTCTGGTAATAGCCATTCTAGTGTGGGTGAAGTTGTACCTCATTTCCCTAATGATGAAGAGCACCTTCTCATGTGCTTATTGGCCATTTATATATATCTTCTTTGATAAAATGTCTGTTCAAGCCCTTTGCCCATTTTTTTGTATATTTTTGTTCAGTTACAAGAGTTCTTTATATATTCTGGATATCAAATCCTTATCAAATATATGGTTCCCAAATATTTTCTCCCATTCTGTAGGTTTTCTCCACTTTGCTGGTAAAGGCCTTTGATGCACGAAAGTTTTTAATTTTGATGAAGTCAAATTTATCTATTTTGTCTTTTGTTGCTTGTGCTTTTGGTGTTATATCTAAGAATTCATTGAAACCTAGGTCCTGAAGCATTATCCCTGCTTTTTTCTAGGAGTCTTGTGGTTTTACTATTTACATTTAGGTCCTTGATCCATTTTGAGTTAATTTTCATAGGTGGTGTGAAGTATGGATCCAATTTCATTCTTTTGCATGTGGAAATCCAGCTATTCCAGCATCATTTATTAAAGAGACTATTTTTGTCCCATTGCATGGATTTAGCACCCGTGTTGAAAATCAACTGTCCACACATGTGTAGGTTTACTTCTGGGTTCTCAATTCCATTCCACTGGTCTCTATACCTAACTTTATACCAGTACCAGACTGTTTTGATTACTGTAGCTTTAGAGTATGTTTTGAAATTGGGATGTGTGAACTCTTCTAATTTGTTCTTCTTTTTCAATATTGTTTTGGCTACTCAGGGTCCCCTGGAATTCCATATAAATTTGAGGACTGGCTTTTCCATTTCTGCAAAGGCTGTTGGAATTTTTATAGGAACTGTGTTCAACCTATAGATCATGCTTCGGGTAATATGGACATCTTAACAATATTAAGTCTCCAATCCAAGAACATGAAATGTCTTTCCATTTATTTAGGTCTTCTTTAATTTCTTTCAGCAATGTTTTATAGTTTTCAGTGTACAAGTCTTTCACCTCCCTGGTTAAATTTATTTCTAAGTATTTTACTCTTTTAGATGCTATTGTAAATGGAATTGTTTTTCTTATTTTCTTTTTCAGTTTGCTCATTGCTGATATACAGAAACCCAACTAATTTTTGTGTGTTGACCTTGAAACCTGCCACTTCGCTGAATTCATTTATTAGCTCTATCTAGTAGCTTTCTTGTGAATTCTTTGGAATTTTTTATATATGTAGGATCATGTCATCTGCAAAAAGGGACAGTTTTACTTTTTCCTTCCCGATTTGGATAGCTTTTATTTATTATCTCCCTGCCTAACTGCTCTGGCTAGGACTTCCAGTAAAATATTTAACAGCAGTGGTTAAGAGTGGGCATCCTTGTCTTGTTCCTGATATTAACTGGAAAGCTCTCAGTCTTTCTCCACTGAATTCTGTAACCCTTTAACATCTTAGTTTTTAATCCAATGACTTATTCTTGTATTTAATATACTCACCACAAACTTAAGAGGTTTCTGAAGAACAGTTATTATTACCAAGGTTTTAAAATCATGTTATTTTGCAGAAGTTTAAAAATGTTCTACACCTTTCCTAGTACTCTGATTACCAAGCCGTTCACAGGTTCTCAAACTTGTTCAGATGGCAAAATGCCACAAATACAATGCTCTTCAAGAACTCAGAAAATGAAGGATGTAGAAAGTGTTCTTTTGAAAACCACTAAAAAAATACTGCTATAAAACTCTAAATAAACAATGAAGCTATAAATAGATACTATTTTATATTAGATATATACACATGCAAACAGCTATAAAAGGTTTAAGAAAATTCCAAGAAGCAAATTGAGATTTCTGTAACTTAGTTTTCTCTGCAAATTAGGGAACGAAAGTGGAAGTTCAGCTTGTAAAGCAAAACCCTAGGTCCCTGATGCATAATTTGAAAGTCACCCTTCTAAAATGATGTGTTTGCTAACTACCATCAAATAAAATGTATTTTATTTGTCTTTAATTTCAAAAATCCTGGCATTAAATTAGTAAGATATCCAGAGATCTGGGTCAGAATCTATCTAAGAGCCATCCTTAATACAATAAAAATGTTCCAAATCCAATCCATACCAACTTCTACCACCACTTCCAAAACATGTCCAAATCTGTCTACATCACCTAACCTTGCAGATCAACTGCAAGAGCTTCTAAACCAGCCTTTCTTGCTCCTGTCATGCCCTTGCCAATTCTAAATACACTGGCCAGCATAACCTAAAGCATAATTTACATCACATCATGTCCTTGCCTGAAATCTTTCAGGGGCTTACATCTATGTTTGGAATAAAATCCCAAATCCTTGGTATGATTTCTACACAATCTGACTATTCGTCCATTATCACTATCCTTCCTTATAATAAACTTCACTCTAGACCAGCGCTGTCCACTAGCTACATGTGTCTACATAAATTTAATTAAAAAGCAGTTCACTCTAGCCTCATGACTTCCATAGTGCACAGCGCAAATACAGAGCATTTCCATCATCGCAGACAGTTCTACTCGACAGCACTGCTCCAGGCACTGATTTTCACTCTGCTGCCTGAGCACACTGCGTTTTCCTTGTGGACTTTGTTCCCTTTGCCTGGAACCCTCTTCCCCAGCTCTTCACAAGGCTGGATTCGTGACAGTCAATGTTCAGGTAAAACAACTCCTCCTCTGTGGTGAAATGAGTTCCTTTATGTGGCCTTGTGTGTTGGATCTTCGGAAAAACAGCTTGAGAGATTTTTCCCCTAAGTCCTGAGGAGTCAGCTTTACCCTTATTTTCTACCCTAGAGGGTCTGTTACTTTTGTCAGGTTGATTGAGGTTTCCTGGGTAAGCTGTAAACAACTTGGTTTGATACTTTTTGTCTGGTCCTGGGCTGCAGCCTGCCCTGTGATTGGTATGCACCTTGCAGCCTTGCAGGGATTGGTCAATAGACTATACAAATGAAGTGGCTGTGGCCCACTGAAGGGAGAGAAAATCTGATCAGTTCCTGGCCCTGCACAAGGGCCATACCTTGCAATTGACCAGGAGTTTGTGTATGTAAGCAGCTACCCCACAGAGGTTTTTGAGTCAGAAAGAAACAGGAAGAGAAGCAGCAGGAAGAAGCAGAAGGAAGAAAGAAGAGAGAAGCAGCAGGGAGAGAGAGGAGGCAAAGAACCTCCTAAAAGAGCTGTACCACAAGTCACAGGCTGTAACTCTGAACAAAGCAACAGGCCCAGAAGAGGCCCAGCAGCAGAACCAGTGGCAAAGAGAAGCCTATCCTCAGGGGGCCAAGAGGAGACCTGCACGATCGAGAGGAGCTGAGACAGCTATCCTGCACTGAAGGGAAACTTTGCCTAAATGCTTCCTGATCCTGATTCTGAGTTGTAGCCTATTGATCCTGATCCTGAGTTGTACTGTTCCTTAATAAACCATTTAACTCTTAAGTATGGTCTGTGAGTTCTGTGTGGCTACTGCAACAAATTATTGAACCCAGCAAAAGAGCAGAGAGTGCCATGGGGAGATGGCTAGTGTCAAAACCGGTAAAAAGGCTGGAGAGTGGAGGCATGTCTGACCTCCACCTCACAGGAATCAACCTCGGGCTGATAGTAATTCTCATTATCCACCCTGAAGTTAGACAAGTTCTGACGACACTACCACTACCCCCTCCACCATTTCACATCCTCCAAGAAGCCTTTCCTCTATGCCCTATCTAACGCCACGGTCTCCACCTCCATCAGTCTCTCTTTTCCTTGCTTAAGTTCCTTTAAAAAATTTGTTCCTTTGTGAAATCATCTTATGAATTCGCTGGTTTAGTTTTGGTCTTCTCTTTATCATGTGCACCTGTTCTTGACCCTGTTTGACTTTACTGTATTCCTAGCACCAAGACCATTCCTGGCACACAGCTAACATTCAATAAATATCTGCCTATCAAATAACTGACTAGATCCACATATAATCACATAACCATCAATTTTCAGTTCTTGTCCAATTTCAATTCTGATGCCAAATAGCTCTGAGGAAACAAAAACATGGCCCTCAGCAGTCGTCAGTAAAAATTTAACAGAAAGTCAAAAAACAATCTCGATCATTACTACTCATGGCCACAAGAGGGAGTAATACCTTTTTATTATCCACAACTTTATGTACATAGATGGTGGCTTGAGTGTATTCCCGCAGGTCCCTCTGTTGCTGACACAATAAGCCTTCTCTGCATTCTGGACAGAGTTCTAAAAAAAGCAAAATAAAAGTCGCTAAGGAGTTCCTATCAAAAAACCAAAGACCAAAAAACATGTATCAAAGTTACAAGTGAGTACTCATTTAAACATCAGTGACATTTTCTATTGATTGCTGTCTTCCGTTGTATGCAAATAAGGAAACCCATTTACTGTCAACAAATAAACACATAAATAATGAGATGAATATTTGGTAGTTCTTGCTTGGGGAATATTAGTTTAGACTATCATATGATCTTTAATTTTAAGCAGAGAATACAATATTCATGTAACACTTCCTTTTGCCTAAAATGTCAACTTTTAACTACAGAAATCAAGAGCTATACGAAAACTTACTAGGCTCAGAAGTATACTGTGTTTCTGAAGGATTTACATCTCCCACTTCACTTCTTGTGATTTTAATTACATGATCCACAACAAAGAGCTTTTGTATCGTTTGCCACTCACTAGGCCATATGAGAGCTATACTGTGCAAAAAAAAACACAATATGCCTTAAGACACATGGCAATTAAGAGAACAAACATCATTCATTAGTCTCCTTAACAAAAATTATCAACACCAATATTTAATACAAAAGAATTAGAGGAAAGATACATCATTTATTAACAAGGAAGAGCAGCTTTTCCATACAATGGAATGCTACAACAGCAGTGAAACTAAATGGACTAGAGTGACAGGAATCAACGTGATTAAACCTCAAAAACATAAGTGAGTACGTTAAGTTGGTTGCAGAAGAGTAATACAGTATGATGGTATTTACATAAAAATTTAAAATATATAAAACATTACTATGTGCATATTAAAGAAAAAAAAACTTTCTGGGACTAATAACCCTCAAATTCAGGACGGCAGTTCTGGCAAGAGAAAAACGGAGGGGGAGAGAGAAAGGAGCAAAAGAAAGGAGGGACAGTACTAAGGGGCTTTCAAATACATTTGAATTGTTTACATTTTTAAGGTGGATGGTGGCACACGTTTATCATATATACTTTCTTGGACACCTGTCATTTACAACAGTAACAAAAAACAAAAGGAAAAAGGGTGGGGGAAATCAATGTGAGGGGTGGTACCTGGAAGAAAACATGTATTAACGCTAAGCTACCTTGAAGACTGTTAAAGAACAGATATGTGAATAATAAACTCCCTAACCCTAGCTTAATCTCAAGGGAATTTTTATTTATTTACTTCAATTTTCTTTTGGCAATGTCAGAGGCATTCCATCTTCTTTTATATAGTTATTTAAAAGTTATTTTAAAAGATAAAATGGGAACATCAGGAGTGAATTTCATAGATGAGCTCTTCTGGAAGTGGAACAAATTTTTTATTTTAAGGCCCTAGAATTCAAGATGACCAGATCAGTGGCTTTGCTCAGAGCCACTTCCTCCTCCTTTATTTTCTGAAGGCTGGCAGCTGCAGAGAAATAAAACCACAGCTTAGACCATGTGGGTTATGTGATTCTGGTAAAGACTTCCAACTAGAGACACTGTACTGGTTACTGAAAGAGAAGGCAGAGCTGCATTACCAGGAGGGGCGAGAAGAAGCATAAAGAGCAAGGTAGCCCTGGGTGGCCTCTTGCCTTTTATGGAGAAGCAGTCTCTTTTTTTTAAAAGACTAGTGCTCACTCTAATAGAACACCTAAAAGGAAAAAGTAAAACCCACAATTCAGCAAAGGACTGGATTCTTAAAACAGACTGTTTAGGTCAGATGAGAAATTTCCTAAACACACTTTATTAATCATTAGAAATAGAGAAATCACATGAAGAGAGGAAACTCACAGTTTAGAATCTTCTTTGGTCATGGAAGCAAATGTAAACATGAGCCCCCCATGGGGACAGAGAAGAGCGCTGTTTCCAACCGATGACACAGGACTACATCTTGTAGGCTTTCTACTCAAATGAGACAAGGAGGATAGATACACCTCATCATTGTATGAATAAAGAGAGTATTTTTAAAGATAATTATTTTAAAACTAGAGATATATTCAAAGAATATTAGTAATTCAATTTGTTTTTAAGATAATTTATTTAACTTAATCATAAAGACAGCTTTCAGTGTATGCTAGTAAAAATAACCACAAAGGGTACCACTAACAGAATCCATCACTTTTTAACAATATGGCAGCCAATATCAACAAAAAAGAAAATAGAAAATTTTTAGTTTCTACCTAACAAACTTCCGCCACTCTTCTACAAAGAACTGTGACACAATGTAGAGGACATCCGTATCCTAGAACATAAAAATCACATGAAAATATCCATTAATTCACTGCATTCTTGACATAAATTCCTTATAGTAAATGCTTTTCACATACTGTGGTTTTCCTTTTTCAAGTTTTGTAAACACAATGGAAACGTAGCTGTCTACCAAGAAACAGCAAGGCGGAGTAAATCTTCCTGATAGGATAACTAAACAAATGAGAGTTAAAGAAGCCCTGGGTTGTTCTGAAATAGCTCGTCAGGACTTTGGCAAGGGCCTTAAAAAGGTAAGATGGATTCTTTCCTTTGTGAGAATCATTATACCTCTGGCCAGTTACTGAGACAAGGTCTGTTTTTGTCCTGGAACAAATTTGGGAGAGAAGTCTTTTGCTCATTTGCAATCATCTTATGTAAGGCTTCATTTTCTTCCCCTTCTCGTTCTAAAATCTGAAAGAGAATGAAGCAAATCAACCATCTCCTGCTGACAGCACATGACTTGCCTCCTCCCCACACCCCCATAAAAAGTACAGTGTTAATACTCCTGGGAAGTCAATCCAGGGGGTGGCGTGCACTTTCCACAGATGTCAGTAGTTCAGTACCTTGCACTGTGAACAGCATTCTTTGTAACTTGGAAACTCAGGAGCCCTTGGAAAGTACTGTTGCAGTTTGCTCCAAGCCTCTTTAGAGACAAGCCTTCTTTCGTTCTCCGATATGCATAACTCCCCTGAGTGGGGAAGGGAAAACAAAACATAGATATACGTATGTATACATATGTATATACATATATACTCATTTGGGGGAAAAAAGCTAAAAAAAAAAAAATCAATATATAGCCCCAAAAGTCTACCTGCCATTTCTTAAACTTAAGACAAATTAATACGTACCCATTTCTTTCTTTACTAAAGTGTTATGGGGTTGCCAGGAGTCGGAACTGACTTCAGGTGGCAACTACTAACTACATTTCTATAACACTCTCCTTACTTTCAAAAATCTCAAAGTTTTTAATTTCATCTAATTCTTAAGCAGCTAGTCATTAACCCCAATTTTGTGTCCTTAATCTAGCTCTTTGGTTGAAAAATCACGAGGTGAAAACAAACGTGTGAGGCTGTTGCTGTTGGTGTGTGCCAATGAGTCAATTCCGACTCACAGCAACCCTGTATGACAGAGTAGAACTGCCTCATAGGTTTCCCTGGGCTGTGATCTTTTTGGGAGCAGATCGTCACATCTTTTCTCCCATGGAACCACTGGTAGATTTGAACCGCCAATCTGGCAGCCGAGAGTGTAACCACTGTGCAACCAGGGTTCCTTTGCGTAAGGCTAGAACCATGCATTTTCTGTCTTTTTTCCTCCCAGTGAAGGGAGCAGTAAAAAGGGGCGCTTCCAGGGATGCTATGACCTATGTGTCAAGGCAGGGGTTATTATTCTAACAGGACTTCACCTACTCCCACACTACTCAAGTGCCACAATTTCCTGCAGACTTTTCTCCCATCTGACCGTGTTGCTTTACTGAAATCATTCTGAGTTGAAATCGTATTTTTAAGCTTGTGTCCAACCCTCACAGGTCCATTATCAATTCCAGGTTAAATAATACAGCAATCTACCATTCAATCTGAAAACTCTAGTCAAGTTCCAATCTGTTTGCCATTACTATTGTCATCACCCTAAACCTCTTGCATCTTCAAAAATTGCAGAAGGGAACGAGAAAAATACTAATCACCACTACCCTTCTCTCTTTTCAGAAGACTACAGAAGCATACAGATCAAAGCAATTTACAATCCCAGCAGCTCCTCCTCAGTTTACAAATCTATACCTAGCTCTAGAGGGCCTTTCCCCCCCAAGCTACTCCGGGCATCATTTCTGGTTATATTTTCTATTCCTTTAGTCATTCCCAACTGATAGATTAGTAAACTGCACTTATCTAACTATAAGGGTCATTACTTTGAAAACCAACCTTAAGCTTCCAAAGCCACACGTTTATTTTTGCCTCCATGTGCAAAACAGCTGCAGATTTATCACAAGTAATAAAGCTAGGCGCTTTCTAATACAGTATCATTTTTTGCTTCATGTGTTTTACATAATAAGTTACTCAAACCTATTGCCATCGAGTCGATTCCAACTCACAGCAACCCTACAGGACAGAGTAGAACTGCCTCATAGGGTTTCCAAGGCTGTAATCTTTACAGAAGCAGACTGCCATATCTTTCTTCTGTGGAGTGAACGAGGGGTTTGAACTGCCAACCCTCCGGTTAGCAGCTAAGCATTTTAACCACTGTGCCACCAGGGCTCCTTAACTGAGACTCAGACAGATTAAATAATATGCCCAGGATCACCACAGCTGGTGAATAACGAAGCTGGGATGTGAACTCAGGTCCATCTTATCCAAAACACATCATTTCTAATACCTTAAAATGCACCATCTTATCTTCCAATCTTCACCTCTTACTGAGCTTTGAGTAATATTAAGAAAGATTGCTTTAATAAACTTATTACTAGAGAAAACAGGTTACAATGAAAAAATTTACTTTCTTTCTGAGTAGTATGTTAACTTAAATTTCCTCTGAGGCGATAAAAACTTACTCTAACATGCCTATTCCAAGACACAATTAGGGAATTAATTTTTTTAAAAAGTTAACTGGATTATAAAATCCTAATTTAGTACATCCTTACGGTGAAATACAATGCAGCCATAAAAAAGATTAAGGTAGATCTCCATGACCTGATTTAAAAAGAACTCTAAGGCACTTATAATTTTAAAGTGGTTCCCCTTTTTAAAAAAAAAAAAAGTTTTTCCGTGTGTGGTATGACCCCATCTGACTCAGAAAATGAGAAGAGAATAAACAATGACATTGTAATATTATTTAATATATAAGTTTACAGAAGATGCCATAGAGATTATGAATGTATTGCTCCTTGTTTTGATGTGTGAGGTACTTTTACTTTGTTGTCGAGTGCTACTGAGTTGGTTCCAACTCATAGCAACCCTATAGGACAGAGCAGAACTGCCCCATAGGGTTTCCAAGGAGCAGCTAGTAGATTCAAACTGCCAACTGTTTGATTAGCAGCCACAGCTCTTAACCACTGCACTACCAGCGCTCCTGTCAGTAAAGGAAAACTCAAATACATTCTATAATAGAGAGTGACAGAAAAGTGATAAGACTACACCCTGTTAAAGGCAGAAAACTTAAGAGACCCAGAAAAACAAGGCAGTCCCATCCAATTCTAGCTTTCGTAGGTTTCACTTTATCATGAAGATGGTGCAGAACCAGGCAAAGTTCTGTTCTCTTATGCATAAGGTCACCACGAGTCAAAGCCAACTCGACAACACCTAACAACTTCGACCAACACCATCAATACATCGCGAGAAGCAGATTTTAATATAAACTTAGTGAGCGAAAAGGATCTCTAACTGAGGTCAGATTTCTTGCCCTTGGAAAACCTGACACTGCTGACAGAGATGATGTACACTGTCATGGACTGAATTGTGTCCCCCCAAAAATGTGTGTAGCACCTTGGCTAGGTCATGATTCCCAGTAGTGTGTGATTGTGTTATCTGATGTGATATCCTTACGTGTTGTAAACTCTACCACTATGATGAGATTATATGTGATCTCCTCATGTGTTATAAATTCTATCATTGTGATGAGGTTATACTGATGTGGTTGACAAGATTAGTGTCCTAATGCAATCTCTTTTGAGATATAAAAGACAGAAGTGAGCAGAGACACATGGGAACCTCATACCACCAAGAAAGCAGTGCCGAGAGCAGAGCATGTCCTTTGGACCTGGGGTTCCTGCACAGAGAAGCTCCCAGACCAAAGGAAGATTGATGACACAGACCTTCCTCCAGAGCCAATGGAGAAAGTGTTCCCCCGGAGCTAATGCCCTGAATTTGGACTTGTAGCGTACTGGACCGTGAGAGAATAAATTTCTCTTTGTTAAAACCAGCCACTTGTGGTATTCCTGTTAGAGCAGCACCAGATGACTGAGACATACACAAAAAGAACAAACGTAGAAAACTATCCTTTTTAAAATACCAGACAACAAAATATGGCATCAAAATGCCACTGAGTCGCACCAACAGCCAACATTACTCTCAATGTAGAGACTGAAAGCATTCCCCCTAAGAACGGGAATCAGACAAGGATGCCCTTCATCACATCACCACTCTTATTCAACACTGTACTGGAAGTGCTAGCTAAAGTAATAAGACAAGAAAGGGAAGTAAAGGACATCCAAATTGGTAAGGAAGAAGTACAACTTTCCCTATTCATAGATGATATGATCCTATACACAGAAAATCCCAGAGAATCCACAAGAAAGTTACTGGAACTAATACAAGGAATCAGCAAAGTGGAAGGATACAAGATCAACATATAAAAATCAGTCATAGTCCTCTACACTAACAAAGAGAACTTTGAAAAGGAAATCAGGAAAACAGTAACATTTACAATAGCCCCCTAAAAGATAAAATACTTAGGAATAAACCTAACTAGGGATGTAAAAGACTTACACAAATAAAACTACCAAACACTACAGTAAGAAATCAAAAGAGATCTTCGTAAGTGCAAAAACATACCATGCTCATGGACTTAACATTGTGAAAATGTCAATACTACCCAAAGCAATCTACAGATACAATGCAATCCCAATCCAGAGTCCATCAACGCTCTTTAATGAGATGGAAAAACTAATCACCCACTTTATATGGAAAGGAAAGAGCCCCCGGATAAGTAAAACATTACTGAAAAAAGAAGAACCAAGTAGGAGGATTCATACTACCCAATCTCAGAATCTCCTACACACAGCTATGGTAGTCAAAACAGCCTGATACTGGTACGTACAAAAGACACGTAGACCAATGGAACAGAATTTAGAGCTCAGAAATAAATCCATCCAAGTATGGACACCTGATCTTTTACAATGGGTAGAAGTCTATTAAATGGGGAAAAGACAGTCTCTTCAACAAACGGTGCTGGCAAAACTGGATATCCATTTGCAGAAAAATGAAATAGGATCCATACCTTACCTCATACACAAACACTAACTAAAAATGGATCAAAGACCTAAATGTAAAACCTAAAATTTTAATGTTCATGAAACAAAACATAGGGACAAATGCTAGGGGCCCTAATTTATGGAATAAATAGAATATGAAGCATAACTAAAACTGCAACTCCAGAAGATAACTGGGACCTCCTAAAAATTAAATACTTATGCTCACTAAAAAACTTTTCCAAGAGAGTATAAAGAGAACCTACAGACTGGGAAAAAATCTCTGACAATGACATAACTGATGAAGGTTTAATCTCTAAAATACACAGAAAATTTCAATAACTCAACAATAAAAGGACAAGCAACCCAATCACAAAATGGGCAAAAGACATGAACAGACATTTCACCAAAGAGGACATTCAAGTGGCCAACAAATACAGGAAAAGATGCTCGTCATTATTAGCCATTAGGAGAGATGAGAAGCAAATCAAAACCATGATGAGATACCATCTCATCCCTGCAAGAATAAAACTGATCAAAAATTCAGAAAATGGTAAATGCTGGAGAGGTTGTGGGGAGATTGGAACTCTCATAACTGCAGGTGGGAATGCAAACTGGTACAACCACTCAACCACTATGGAAAACAATATGGTGCTTCCTTAAAAAGCTAGAAATAGAAATATCATTTGATCCAGCAATCCTACTCCTAGGAATATATCCTAGAGAAATAA